ATGAATTTTTTTTGCTGCTTATTCGACTTCGTTATATGGAAGTTTCACTGTATATTAATAACTACAGTACAAACACCATTATTGTTGAGTTTTTATCTGTACCACAAACCTACTAATTTTTTTTCCTAATATGTTAAGACCTAACATTTTGTGAGTATCCTACAGTCTGTCATAATTATTTAACTTCTGAATACTAAGATATTATTGTAAGCCAATAACTTTACTATTAGAATATAAAAAAGCAACAAAATTAAAATTCTATGATTTAATAACATTCTACTTACTAAAAAAACATCTATTTCGTTGAGGTTAACTTCTAAGTTAGATACTTGATGTTGATTTAACAATTGAACTTTTTGGCCTGAAATATACAATTTAAATTAAATGTAGGTAGGTACTATTTTTAATTAAATAAAAATAAATATTTATCATTGGTAAATGAAATTTTTTTTAAAAACTCAATTCTTTAACACAGTTTAAAACATATTAAAAAATATGAATCCACATATGAGTCTATTGACATTATATTAAGTGKTTATTACATGTGTAAAATATTAAAAATAAAAATGTGTTACTTTGAGTATTTTCTTTGTTTTGTGGTCCATTAGTAGCAGCAGATTCTATTTTTCTTTTCTTTTTAGGCATTTTGTCTCTATGTAGAAATAAATTTATATAGATATATTTATATATTTATTTAGATATAATACTAATATATTTAAGTCAAAGGCGAAGTATTAAATCAAGCAATTTATAAAATCCCTAGGCATTATTTAATAGAATGCTCAAGTCATAACAGTGGGTTATTGTGTTAACAATTGTCTAACAAATTCAATTGCCTCTACATCAACTGCAACTATAAATTCCATCACATTCGCAGATGCAAAGAACGAAATTAACCTACACTCAAAAAATAAATGGCACTCTCACTGGCGAAAAACTCAACAAAATAAAAAATAATATAAACCCATGGAAAAATCCTGAACTTTTAAGAAAAGATGAAACCATAATAAACCGCCTCCGWATTGGACACACACACTTAACACACAACTGCTTGATGAGTAAAGATGATCCTCCACTATGTGACTCATGCAGCTTACATTTAACCGTCAACCACATAATCACTGAATGTCAAAAATACAACCAGTATCGAAATCAATTTCACATCTTCGAACAAATTTGTCAAGCACTTGGACCAAACCCACAGGACTTAAAAACAACCTTAATTTTATTCTTAAAAATAAAAAAAAACAGAATTTTACAATTTAATTTAATATAAAAAAATTAAATACTTAAAGTTAAAATACTAACAATGTAACCAAAAAAAAAAAATTCTTTTACTAATGGCCTAGTTGTCGATGTATTTTAGATCAATAAAAAAAAAAAAAAATTACAGAAATAAAATATTTTCAACACTATTATATGTATACCTTACATTTGTAAGACTTTTTAATCAGCTTTGTATTTAATACTATAGTTTTATATGAGTACCTATTTAATAAACCACAAGCAGATTCCAAAAATACTTCATCGCACTTCAAAATACTCTTGTATAAATAGTATAATAAGTATTATTTATTATGGTTGTATGATTGTAATGGTATAAATTAGGTACTTATATTGTCTTGTACTATTACAATTGAGTAATAATTATATTAATATTATGATTATAATTGTGTTTGGCAACAGTACCGTAGCTAGATACTTGTGTGCCCTGGTGCAAATTGGTGTGTCCTGTGTAGGTGCCCAATAATTTTATARCATACCTAATTTTCTTTTTTCTTTGTTGTATATTTATTATAAGATAATCGGTAAAGGCGTAAGGCCCTTTCAAGATCAAGTGCCCCGGTGCATTGCACCGCCTACACCGGCGGTTTCTACGGCACTGTTTGGCAACTATACAATCAGAATAAATATTTGAGTAAAATAAGAATAATTATATCAAGAGAATGCTGACATCCTGTCATTCCCTTTGTTTTCTTCCTCTCTGGCTAAAACAGTATTGCACTGACATCTTTTTAATAAAAATAACTACAAATATTATATACCAATTGCTAGATAATAAAAATAGGTTACGTAGTTACTGATATGTCCCAAACATTTATCCTCAATAATAATATTATCATTATCTCTCACTGAAAATAACTCAACTTACTATATCTTTAAATAGGTATGTATTTATTGTATATTTAAATTTACTAAAACTAATAGACATAATGTATATCTTATTATTGTACAGGACATTTTAAGTACCTAAATAGTATAAACTATTCTATAAAATACTTAGGAATTTTATTAAACACCAGATTAAAATAAAAACTTTGTCTAGTAATATAGATAATTATTATAACTACATAAATAGATAGAGGTTTATACTTACACAACTATTTTATTTTTGTATAAGGCATTTGTTGAATTGGTACAATAACCTAAACATTTTTTTTTTCATTATAATAAATTTAAATATTTGAATTAATTACTATATTTAATACAGGGAAATTCAATAATATGTTAGCAGTACCTATCTAAAATGCTAAGGATGCTAATTAGTTTTGGTGGCTTATCAATTTAGATATTAATAGATAACTAATTATGACATAATACAATATGTTATGTGTTTAACAAAACTTTTGAGTTTTGGTAAAACCTTCTTAGACAATCAAGTATATACTATATACTATGTATTTAAGTCTCTTACAACAGAAACATATTTAAAATGAAAATATCATCTAGAATTAAGTGATTCCATCATAATGAGGTTTTACTACGATTAAATATAGGAAAACTAAATTTGTACAAAGTGGTCAATTTAAGTAAAATTCAGTAATTTWTTKAATGGTCATAACCAGGGCTCGTGAGTTCAWGCTCTAAAAAATGCCTAAATAAGTATGCACTTATGCACTAAAACTCTAAAAATATGTATCAACAATATGTAGATTAAAAAATAAAAATACTATAAGTACATTTTGGAATAACAAAAAATGTCCATTCATATTGTTAAAAGTTATATTTTATTATATTAATGTACTCAATTTCAAAAAAACAAATTAAAAATATCTTTCAATATCAGTTAAAAAAATATCCAGTCAGTCCAGTCGCTCATTTTATATCTGAAAATTTTAAATCCAATTTATTAAACAATACAAAATACTTAATTAAATAATTTATGTTCGTAAACGTG